CTCAGACCTTTTCTGCCTCGGATCTCCTGCAAGTGCGTCGGCTTCTCTGTCCTCAGTTTGCTTATCCACAAAATGGACAGAGTGGGATCTGTCACGCAGAAAGTGGCGAGCTGCTATGGGAGGGCCTCCTGGTAGGGGACTGAGCCACATGTGCGGGGTCCCCAGAGAAGAAGAGCTCACAGTCTGATCAAGATGCCCAAACTCCACTGTTTATTGAATCTCGGTTTAAAACAAATGAGAGAAGCTGAAGAAAAGAGAGGGAGCAGGTTAACCCACTTAGATCAGGGCACAAGTGAGCCAGGTCCCCACTGCCTGAGTTTGGGGTACATGTGGCTCCCGAGTCCTGTCTCCCCATGGTGTGGTTCTGATGCCCACAGTGGAGGGTGAACTAAGGGGTTCTGCACCCCAAAGGTGCCAGGGCCACGGAGTGGGGGGAGGGGCAAATGCTCTTGGCCATGACTGTAGCTGGCTGATAACATGCTTGGCGGCCGTGGCTTTTAACGGCATGGCACAATCCTTCCATGCTTCCCATCTATGTCCAGATCATTCTTAACATGTCTACCAGGCCCTGTGAGCTGCCTCTGAGAAAAATCCTCTTTGTTTCATCTCTCCGCTTCCTGATTCACGTGGCTTTCTTGTTTTCTCTATGGCAGAAGTGACTATGCTTTTTAAAAAAATACAGCAGACACAAGAGAGCAGTTGAGAGAATTCGATAAGATAACCATGGAAAGTGTTTATACAAAGCCTGGCACGGAGTATGTTTTCAGTACGTGTTTATTATTAGTAGTATCACCATCCAAGGAAAATGGAGAGTCAGAGAGAAAAGCAAAATAGCGTCCCTTGGTCCAGGGAAGGGACCAGGTGGAGAGAGATATCACTGTAAGAGCAGACATTGGTGAGAGGGCATCTGGGGACCTGGGGGTGGGGGGGTGAACAAATGGTGGGGGAGGGGAGAGAGGGGATCTCTGGGAGGAGGGGTTCTCTATGCTCAGCACCTGGTCCCTGAGTTAATGAGGGGAGTGTCCTGGCCTGCCTCCCAGGAGGGCATACATTTGCTTAAGGTCCCTCATCTGTATGGCATTCCAGGCGATTTGCATACAGATGGCAGCCTGTGCCCTCAGTCCAATCCCTCCCACCTTGGCCAAGGGTCTAGGGGAATGGGAAAGGGGGAGCCCGCAGGATCTGGGTCTCCAAGAAGTAAAAGCAAGTTTGGAGTAAACTACCACTTTTTATCAGCATTCTGTGGCTCCCTGTTGCTCTCAAAAACATGAGCCACCCTTCACCATTTAGGACCTAAAATGTTGCCCCTCACTCATAACCCACCATTCCCTCTGTCACACATGTCCCCGCCTTGTGCCTTCATGACTTAACTATTCCTGGAATGCCCTCCCCCATTTCCCCCATTGTCACGAAGCTTGCCTGTCTTTCAAAGCCTGGACCTCTTGAAGGATTCTAGGAAGTTTTCACTCCCATTTCCCTACCCTGGGAACTTTATAGGAATCTGTGCCTCTTATGGACTCCTATAGATTCCATTAGTGAGGATATATTTGGTGGCAAATGACAAAAAAAAAGGGGGAGGGGAGTCAAAAATTTGTGTAAGTGAAAAGGAAAATTATTCACTCATATAACCAGGATGACCAAAGTCTGACTATCTTCAGGCATAGCTGGATCTAGGGGCTCAAATAATCTCATCAGAAAGCTATCCTCCCCTGGGGCTAATAATACATTAAATGTTTAAAAAAAAAAAAAAAGCTGTCCTCTTCCATTTCACAATTCTGCTGTCCTCTAAGCACAGGCAAGGGTTTCTTCTCTCAAGAGTCACCCCAGCAGGGACGCCTGGGTGGCTCAGTCGGTTGAGCTGCTGCCTTCGGCTCAGGTCATGATCCCAAGGTTCTGGGATTGAGTCCCACATCAGGCTCCTTGCTCAGTGGTGAGCCTGCTTCTCTCTCTGCCTCTGCCTGCCACTTTGCCTGCCTGTGCTTGCTCTCTCTCTCTCTCTCTCTCTGACTAAATAATAAATAAAATCTTAAAAAAAGAAAAATAGTCACCCCAGTGCCAGATTTCTACCCTACCAGTTTACCAACCCCCCAACAAAAAACGGTGTCCCAGGGCGCCTGACTGGCTCAGTTGGTACGGCATACAACTCTTGATCTCAGGGTTGGTTATAGGTTTGAACCCCACGTTGAGTGTAGAGTTTACTTAAAAAATAAAATCTTAAAAAAAAAAAAAAAGTGTGTCCTTTCCCTAGTCATTCAAGAAGTCTGAAGTCTCAGGGCTAATCCCCATTGGACAGGAATGGGTCCCACCCCCATCCATGAACCAATCCCTGTAGTCAGGGGATCGATCACATGCTCTGATTGGCCAGGACAGGGTCAGGCTCACTGTGGACCTTAAGGACCGAGTGTAAGGGATTCCTTGTAGGAAAACTTGGTGGTGGGGTGGGGTGGGGGGGACTGCTGGGAGAATAAAAAGAGGTGACAGGTTGCCAGGCAGGTAAATACTTGACACCAACCCCAAAGCTTCAGAAGGAAGACTTTGGCTTTGTGCCTGTACCTCCGGGTGGTTATGGCTCTTCAGTGAAGGGCCATGGGACTTCTCAACACTCAAGGCTGACTCTTCAGGCATGAGACCCACCCAGGCATTTGTCAACAAACAGAGCAGCGTTCAGCTTAATGCACGTCCCCTTCTTCATGTGAAGGGGGCATTAAACTCCAGCTTACCCTCCTAGGGCTTCCCTTGTGGGCTCCACAAAGAACTTCCAGGAAGGCTGAGCTCACCCTTGACAGGTCCAGAAACGAGCAGGTGCTAGGGGGCCTTCCTGGAAGAAATCTCGCTGGGGACTGGGCATCGTGTTCAAGGGAGAAAGGGATGTTTGGGGGGTGTGTGTGTGCAGGGGAGGCAAGGACTGTGCAAAGCAAATTAGTAGCAAAGCGACATAAAACCCAGGGATGCTGGCCATCTAGTCTGGCCCCAGAGTGGGGAGAGAAGGACAAAGAGATCACGTCTATTATGAACCTACTTGTCCTGCTGGTGCCAAGCCTAAGATATGTATTATCTGGAGGGCACGTAGGGTAGAAAGGCTAAGAGTGCAGACTGCCAGGGTTCAAATCCCTGCTTGCTACTTTCTTGCTGGGTGACTTGGGGCAAATGAGCCTCAGGGTACTTTTCGGTGAAACGGGGATCACGATAATGTCTTCTCCAGTGGATTCTTGTGAGGAATTTACTAAGATGCCTCAGTCTGGGATTTGCCATTTTGTAACTGTTAGACCAAGTCATTTCATCTCTCTGTGCCTCAGTTCCCTTATTACATAGGGTCCCATGTGGGTTATTTGAGCTAATATACAGTGCACCTAAATGTGTACCCAGCACATTGTAAATATGTTTATGAATAGTATCATTACCAATACTTGAAGGCAGGCCAATAAGAATCCCTACCATTGGAGACCTTGCCCTTTGGGGAGGAAAGCTCAGGTGTGTGAGGAAAAGAATGGGAGGGCAAGTCTAGGGGGTCCTCTTGCTGGGGCAAGAAGCTCTCAAGCATCTGCCCCCAGTTGAGGTAGACCCTCGCCCTAGAGGAACCGGAATGGGGGGGGGTGGATTTCAGGCGCTCAGTGGCATCCTCCTCCCCCTCCCCCAGCCTCCGGCTTCCCGCCCTCACCCCAACACACTGGGCGGCCTCATCAGCTCCCCCGGTCAGCCCTAGGAATGTGAAGAGGTAGGTGGGGGTGGGGAGGAGCGGGCGCTGCCGGGGAGAGACAAAGGGGCCGAGTCAGAACTAGAAACACAAAGACGCGAGGAGGCTGGGAAGATCGGAGAAGTGGGACAAGGACAAGGGGAGGGACCGACGGAGCCTGGCGGCCCGACCCTAGCCCAGCCCCGCAGGGCCAGAGGAGCGCGGGGCCGGTCTGTGCCGCCCCCTGGCGGGAGGCTGCGGTAACGAAGAGGTGAGGACCCGAGGCAGGAGAGGACGGGATGCGCGGAGCGAGAGACAGAGAAGAGAGTCAGGAACAGAGACATAAAGAGACAGAGAGAAACGACGGACACCGAGGGGCACACATAGAGACAGAGACAGAGTCAAGGGGTTGGAAAGAGACACGGGAACCAAGTGACACAGGAACGGGAAGAGAAGAACAAAGAGAGCAGAAACACAAAGCGACACCGAGACGTGAGGACTAAAAGACCCAGAGTCAGAGAAATAAAGGGACGAAGGAGATCAAAGATGGTGAGAGAGAGACACAGAGCCAGAGACACTGAGAGGGACGGAGAAATCTGGACAGGAATGGCGCAGCGACGCCCAGAGTCCGAGGCAGAGATTGGGAAGAGACAGGATACGCCGAGACGCTCCCAGATGGAGACAGATACTGGGCGGGAGACAAGAACTGGGAAAGTCTGGTGGCGGGGAAAGGGGCGGTGGTCTCAGCCTGGGGGCGGGACTCCAGGAGGGGCGGGCCTATGACAACCCACGTGCCTCACGCAGGTGTGACGATGAGGCCTCAGCTACTGCCGAAGGGGGCGGGGCTAGAACTTCGCGCCCGCCTGAGTCCAGGCGGGACTGAGTTTCAGGGAAGAGGCTGGACCTACTGCCGGGAGAGTGGGTGGGAGGGGCCTGTGGGGGCGTGGCTTCAGGGGGCGGAGACAGCCCTGAGCCCCGGAGGGGGCGTGACAGAACCTTGAAGGAGCCACCAGGCGATCGGGGGAGGCGGGGCGCAGGAGGCCTGCTGGAGGGCAAAGGGGCGGGGTTTGAACGCCAGGAGAGGCGGAGATAGAATTCTAGTGGAGGGGCGAGATCGAATCCCCGGGAGCTGCAGGTGTAGAATCCTGGGAGGGGGCGGGTGCAGAGTGCTGGGCGGGGCGGGAGTAGAATCCTAGGGAGGACCAGCGTGGAATCTCAGAGAGGGCGGGACAGCTTGAGCCAGTGGGGCCGGAGCCCAAGGTCGGCTCCGCGGGGGGGATGGGGGAGGGAAGGGGTGGGTCCTGTGACGTCAGCGAGTCCGAGCTGCGGGAGAGAAGCCTGGGGCCGGGGGCACCGAGCGGGGAGAGCCCGGCCCCGAGAGCAGAGCCGCGAGAGTAGACCGGGCGGGAACCGGCCGAGAGCCGGAGCCCCTCAGGCACCTGCTCTACCGCCCAGCGGATCGGCGCTCACGGAGTGGCCCGCAGGGCCCCGCCCGGGCCCAGTCCCTCCCCGGGCCCCCCCATGGCCCGGGCCGCAGCCCTCCCGCCGTCGAGATCGTCGCCGACGCTGCCGCTCCTGCCGCTGCTGCTGCTGCTGCTGCTGCATCTGCTCCGGGAAACCGGTGAGAAACCACAGACGCCCACCCCCCGCGCGGACCCAGTCCCTTCCCCACCTTTCGAGTGGGGGGAGCCTGAGCACCTTCCCCGCTCCACCCCCAGTTCACCGAGCCCTCTCTCTGGAGCCCTCTTCCTCGCTGGCCCCTACCGACTCCGACCCTTTCCTCTCTGCAGCCCTCTCCCCTCATCACCCTTCTTTACAACTCCCCCAGCCTACACCGGACTTCTCGGTTACCCCCTCCCCCTTCCTCAGATTCTAACACCAAAAGGGTTAAATCCGAGTCTTCGCGACCCCCTCCCCACCTCGCACCGAGCTGTCAACCGGATCTGGGGTTCCGTCTCCGCTTACCCCCTCAGGCATGTGGGGAATTTCTCCCCCCTCCCCCAGCGGGAGGGTCGCGAAGAGGAGACAAGACCATCCCCCCATTTTCCTTCTCCCAGGGCTGGGCGTCTGAGGCCTTGGGAGAATTGAGGGTAGGGGGGGCCAGATGTCCAGGTCCTCCAGAGGGCCCCGGGAGCTCGGACTTTGGGTCCCTTGGAGGGCCAAGGATGAGTACCGGCGACCCTGGGCCTCAGGGAGATGTAGGCTCTGTCTCTTGGGGCCCAGAAAACAAGGGGCTGGGGCCTGGCTCCTGTGCTCCAGAAAAATTAGGGGCTGGGGGCTCCGTCTCCTGAGTCCCAGGCAGAATGAAGGCTAGGGACTATATGTCCTGGGTCCTAGTCAAATTGGGGGCAGACAGGGCACAAACTTGGTTCCAGGTTGTGAGCAAGGGGCTTTGTCTCCCGAGTCCTAGGTAAAATGTTGGGGGGGGGTGGAAGAGGCTCTATCCCATGGACCTCAGATTTAATTGTGAACATTGGAATGTCTTCTGAAATCCAGTTATAAAATGTGGGCGGGGGACCGTGTTCTTGGCTTCTAGATGTAATCAAGGGCCAGAGGCTCTATCTGGAAAGCTGGAGCTCGGTCGGTGGGGTCCCAGGCCGAAAGAGCAGCTGAGTCGCACAGGCTGGGACCCTTCCCTCGCATTGTGAGCCGTCGGCTGGGACGTCCCTGGGGAAGTTTTACCGGTTTCACTTTGGCTGAACCCGGGAGGGAGGGGCAGGCGCTCTCCCGACTCCCGGTTCCGGACTCCCTGGTTTCGGGACCTTATCTTTTCTCTGGTCGCGCCCTCGTCCCTGGAGCCGCTGCGAGGGGGGGGTGGGTGACGCGCGGAGCCGCCGCCCTAATCCCCCGCCTCTCCCTCCGCTCTGCCCACCAGCCCCCTCCCGTGCCCCTCAACCCCCTTGAGGGAGGGCGCAGCTCTCAGAGGAGGGAGGGGCTGGGAGGAAACAGGTGAAGGAGGTTTTGGCCCCGCCCCTTGCAGGTGACCGGGCTGTTTATTCCCTACTAGAAACTCTGGATGTTGGAGTTTCCCAAGGGTTTGCCCAGAAAGTGTAGGCGGGGCGGGGAGGGTGGGGAGAGATGTCTTGGGGTAGCCCTTATTACCCTTCTGACCTTATTTTTCCCAGCATGTCTCTGAGTTGTCTCCCAGCCTTTCCTCAGAGCTGGGTACTGCCTCCCCTTCAGTGTCAGAGGTAGGGAGATGAGGTCAGACCTGCTGCTCCGGGGAAATGCTCAAAACCCGCCTGACCTTGAGCCAGGCTTTGACGTGATCCATGATCTCCTGGAGGATTCTAGATCTCCCTGGGAGGCACATCCTATTCCTGTTCCCATTTTGCAGATGGGGACACAGAGGTTTCAAAAGGGCCAGCCTCTTTCCCAGGGTCCACAGCCCGTCCCCTGGAATGCAGACTTCAGAGCCTTTCTTGGCTCTGCTCCACCGGGGGCCTCTAAGCCTCCATTTCCTACTTTGTAAAACAGATCCTAACCCCTTCTCTGAAGGGCCATTAGGAGGATTCAGATCTCCTGCTGATCCCATGTGAAAGCTCTTAGCACCTGGGGAGGAGGGCCTTCCCCTTTCCTGACCCCTCATCCCTATGCCTACACTCCCTGCTTTTCTCTCTGCCTCCCTCCCTCTCTCCCTGCCCCCCCCACTTCATTTCTCACCTCTCTCTGGTCCCCTGGCTCTCTCATCTCCCACAGAGCTCTCTCCCTTTCCTTTCCACCCATCTCTCTTTACCTGTCTCTGGCTCCTCCGCATTCCCCCTCCATGGCCTCCGAGGACTGAGGGGGCACCACCTGGGTCTCCAGCTGGGTCCTCCCCAGCTTTCACTTCATCCTCGTCAGCCAGGCAGCCCCACGGTGGTGGAGGGGACGGGAGGAGAGGGGATGGCGGGCCTGCTGTCTCTTCTTGTTAGGAAAGGGGGACTGGGGAGCGAAGTGCGGGTGGGTCTGCTCACAGGGAGGAGCTGGAAGGGGGGAGGGGGCAGAAGAAGAGGGGAGGGCCACTCACGGAGAGGGCAGAGATACAGGGATGGGGACAGAAGCCCATGGAGAGTGCATCTGAAACAAATTTAGGGTTGGGATCAGAGACAAACACTAGAATGGAACCGAGAGATGGGAGAGAATGAATTACAGCCCACAGGGGTGGGACAGCAAGCTACTGAGAGGGGACAGAGAAAGGGGGGGGGGGGTGGACAGAGACAGCAGAATAAAGGCAAGAACTGCCTAAGGAGAGAGACACAGGTTTGGTGACAGGCTGGGAGCCCTAAAGCCCCTAGCCATCAGTGATGGCGATGTCCTGACCCAGGGAGGTCAGGGCACAGGAGAGCCTCAAGGCCAGCCGCATGTGGGGGCCCCAGGGAGTGGTGGACATGGGAGGGACAGGGAGTTAGGCATGCCAGCCAGCTCCTCCGCCCCACCAGGGACGCTGTTACATTTTTAATGTCCCAGTGAGGCTGAGAAATGGAGCAGGAGGGGGAGGAGAAGAGAGACCCACGAGATGGCCCAGGCACGGGGAAAGTATTATCAGAGATGTAGGGAGATGGGCAGAGATGGGGAGATCTAGCAGGCAGGGAGGTCCCAGGACCAGAGACCCTGAGAGATGTACCCTCAGAAATCCTGAGAGATTAGAGACCCCCGGAGTCAATGCAGGGACCCAGATTCCAGAGGCAGGAGACCCAGACCCACGGAGACTGGGCTCTCAGATGTCAGACATAGAGGAAAGAGAATATGAGAACAGCTAGGGATGTGGGCGATCTTCTTTGGCTAGTGAAAATGTTCCGAGATGGGCTCCGGTTTGATGGAGTCCCCAGTCTGTAAATACAAAATATACCGGATACGTAGCATATGAATATAGGGTCCGAGTAGACCGACGGCGCTAAACGGTGCGGTTCGAATGGGTGGATTGGATGGTATGGGAATTACATCTCAGTACAGCTGTCAGAGAGAACGTGAGAGACGCGGAAGGGAGGCAGAGACTCTGAGAGAGACAGAGGTAGAGGCCAGAGACCCTACCTAGGAGTTGGAGGCACGTAGGCATTCACTCAGAGATCAAAGGGACAGGACCTGTAAGAGGGAGGCCAGAGTTGTGTGGCCAGAAACATTTTTGGGGCACATGTAGACTGGGTATATGAGCACTTCTTTCTGTCCAAGGGACTCAGCCGGGAAGAGTGATCCTAGAGACTCACCCCAGAAATACCAGACCCCAGAGACGAGGGCTTCAGGGTGGTCGAGCCCCTGCAGAAAGGCAGGGAAATATCAGCCTGGGGAAGGGAGTGATAACCACCATCTGAGAGACGACCCGGGGAGAAGAGGAGGCAGGTGCAGAAGTCCTGGGCACAACCAGAAAGCCCGTGTCCTGGCCTGGCCGCAGCTGCTGCTGCTCGCCACCCCCCCACCCCCCCACCCCGCCCCAGACCGGCTCCGGATGTCCGCTGTGGGGGTGGGCACTGTGATTAATGCAATTAATTAATTAGCAAGGTGGCTGAGGTAGCAGCTGAGGCCAGTGCTCCAAGCACGCTGGCCTTCAAGGGCCTGCTGAGTCCCGCCGCGCCCTGCAGGGCAGGTCCCAGTGTTTATGGGGCAGAGGGGATGAGCCAAGCCCTGGGGAGCCAGCCAGGCAGGAGCCCAGGAGTCAGGGCCTCTGGCCCACTCCTCCTCTAGGGTGCTGTAAGCCCTATGCACACGCCTCTCTGCCTAGATCTACCCTTCCCCAGATCTCAGGGTTTCAGGCTCTGTGTCTCTGTCCATCACGGTTTCCTGCTGGGCTCGTACTGTCCCCAGGCAGCCCCTGCTCTGCTACCGTAAGCCCAAAGGCCTAGCCACAGGGAGAGGAAGTGTGCCCGGGGACCCCGCTGACTCCGCGTTGAAGCTGTCACTAGTCTGGCTTGCTGATGAAGGAGGCTGAGTGAGGTCTGTGTTCCCTGGGCCATTCTCTCCCCCGCTGTGGTGCTGGCCACATCCCAGCCAAGGTCAGGGCTCCGGCACCGCCCAGCAGCACACTGGACACTGAGACTCTAATTCTAGGCCAGCTACCGGCTCCCTGCACCCCCCGACCCCCCATCCCATCCCCCCCTGCACCCCCCCGACCCCCCATCCCATCCCCCCCCCCACACTGGCTTCAATTCCCATGCCTCCATTGACCCACCCCTGTGCCCCTAAGTCCTGCAGCCCCTCGGCCTCAGGTCCCAGCCTTTCCACCTTCTGAACTTGACTCCGTCTGGCTGAGCCTTCTTCCTCACGGCCCCAACCCCCCAACATCCCTGCCCCATCCCATTCTGAGGGCGCTTTCAGAGGCACATACCTAACCCTGCCCCCTCCCCCCTCCCCCCACATGTAACTCTCCAGGGCTCCCAAAGCCCTAACTTAGCCTCAGCCTGTGCAGTCGGGTACACCACTGTTTCTCTGCCTTCATCTCATTCATTCATTCATTCATTCATTCATCATATTTATGGAGCCCCTATAGTGTGCCAGGCACCATTCTAGGCTCCAGAGCCACAGGAGTGAACAAAGATCTCAGTCTCCCGGCCCTGATGTTTCATGGCAAAGACACATCAGGTGCCTTGAGGAAAAGGAAGCTGGGTCTGGGGTGGGGGTGGGGGTTTGTTATTATCATTAGCGTGA